CACATAGGACATCGTCCCGCTGACGCCCCTGCGCAGGCTACTGACACGCTGAATATAAAATTTTCAGGAAAAAAAACCCTGAAAATCAGGCCATTTATTATACAGAATCCAAAACAAAAATTCTTTGGAATCCGGAATCCCAAGGCTTGAAATCCGGAATCCAATGTTTCGGAATCCGGAATCCAGCGCTTGGAATCCGGAATCCTCTAGTTCTCTGGATTCTCTTACATGGGGCGAATATCTGATATAGAACTGATTAATAAAACATCAGTTCTATATATCTGATATAGAACTGATTAATAAAACATCAGTACTTTATCGGATATAAAGACCCATCATGCGACCCAATAGTTCGATGCTCATTGAACTAATAGCTCATGAATTATTAATGAGTTCTAGAATTTCTAAAAAAAAGTACTATCAAATCGGCATCAAAATTCAAACATACCGATATCTCCGAATTCAATCATATTCCACCTGTGTAATTCAGAAGAATAGTACTTCAAGTATATCAAAAGAAAAGTTTGGGTAAATTAATTCTGAGAGCTGAGAGCTGAAGTCGACTGCATTAATTCTCATAATATATTCATTCATACCAACACGACACGGTTGCCACGATTTGTTTGTTTTTTTTTTGCTGACATTCACTCTGGTGGACCGCTGACCTGTAAGAACAAATCTGGTATCTGGGACCTGGCTGGAGTTGTGAGCTTTGGAAGAGGTTGCGCTCGCAAGAATGAATATGGCGTGTATACCAACATGGCTGAACTCAAAGGATGGGTCGAAGATCAAATCAACAAAAAYTAGTGTTTTTGCTCCAAATAAACAATATAATGAATAAATGAACAAACTGTTGAACATTTGTGTTGTTCTACTACAAGATGCGTAGCGGGTGGGGTGAATGGATTATAACAAAAGATAAGAATAGATTCACTTATATATACACTTATATCAATTAAATTCCAGTCCAGCGTAACACAAACAGTTTCTCTTTGCAAATTTATTTTGTATTATTTGCTGAAAAGGATGGGTGACAAAAGCAAGCACGTCTAACCCAATGAACCATTTTACTTGTTCTCACAATGATTCATGACAGACAACATGAAACATGTCATGCTACCTGCTTTTGAACTTCATTTAAATCATCGACTGAGTGAATTCAGTTAGAGTTCACCTGATCTCGTCGTGTGCTGAGACACCAAGGTACGTAAGCCAGTCACTGCTTTTTGAGCTAATAGATCAGATAATTAGATGATCTTAGATTATCTTCATAACAAAAATAATTTTATCTGAGTCAGTATGGCTCTGAAACGTCGGATATTAGCGTTATTCTTTATGCTTAATGAATTAGTATTGGATAGTTAATCATAGAGTGCAATCAATCCCGTAAAAATAGYATGAATAATCYCTTATCAATGTTTATTAGACAAAAGATAYCACAGGAATTCGCGYATAATTCACTAAAAGACACTTTAGCAGAATGTACTTTATTTCTCTTAATTRTATGTTCGGTTTTTCTCGTTCGTTTTATATTYATCTCTTATTTTATTACACTTACTAAAAGCCTTTGTTTCAACAAAAGGTAAAAGTTAATATCCCTCTATTGCGTTGACTATCTATTTCGTATGTTCATTTTGTTTCTCTATAAATCAAAATCATTAAGACAATACGTGTACTGCATGTTTTCCAGTTTCAAATAAAACAATTTCTTCGCGTCGCAATAGAAGGGACAGAAATTCCAAGCTTTTCTCACTACTATTTTTCGAAGACCAAGATTTGCTTTCACCACAAATCGATCATTCCCTSTCTTATGGCGCTACTGACACATTTAATAGTGTACCCTACTCTTACATATGTATCTAATTAGATAAAAGATACCAAAGGAATTAGTATAAATCAATGTTTGATAGACAGTTTAGCATACTACACTTTATTGCTCATAACTATTTTTCGTGTTTTTCTTGTTCTTTTTATATGAATCATTTACTTAATTGCAATTTTACTAATACGTTTTCTTTTCCCTTTGTTTAAACAAGTTGGTAGTAAACCATTCTATTGATTTAGTTATTAAATATTAACTTAATAGACAGTGCTTCGCTGGTTCACTATTGTCAGTCTAAACAAAACGAAGGAATTAGCATAAGTTTAGCGCCTGTGTTCTTGTATCAAGTCTATTTTCTTCACGTCACAATAAAAAAACAAAATATTTATTTTTTTTACGTCACGATAAAAGATTCCACGCTTTTCTCGCTACTTTTTTTTCGATGTTAAAGGACTAAGATCTCATAGATTTGATTTCAGACGAATCGATTAATCTCCCATGGCGCTTCTGACAACATAGTGTACCCTGCACCAATAAAATAATAGTATCAGAAGTACATAACCAGAAGTGTCCATCACGGTAATAATTCACTCACCAGCATAGCATGTTCCGATAGTTTCTTTTAACAGCCGCGACTTCCGGTCTCGTCATCGTTACTGTCGGGAAGGAAATTTGACGAGACCGAGAGTCGCGGCTGTTGAAAGAGACTAATGTTCCGATAATCTATTTYTAGGCAAGCAATCACAACGCGGCACCTGATTGGTTATAATCAAGACAAGAAATGTAGTCAATGAGGGCGTAGCCTTGGTATCAGGCTCTCTCGAAGGGGTTTGGGGCGGAGCGAGAAAGGAGAGAGAGCCTGACACAATCTTTTATCGAGAGTCGAGTTCGGCGGCCGTTTCATGGCCGAAACGCTGATTGGTCTAGAGGACAAAGGAAGTGACAGGAATTAAAATATATATAATTATTATGTTACCGAACGACGCTATGACTCTTGATATAAGTGAATAACAGTTTGGGAAAGCTTTAATAGTACCCTGGTTGCAGAGGCTTGTCTTTTATTCTTTTTTTTTTACTACGTTATCAAGCCGTTCTTGAATCGGTTCGTTTTTACGCTTACAAAAACAAACCGATTAACGGAAACGTCTCATATAACACTAACATTACACCGACCTATAACGGAGTAAAACAATTCAAGATTATAGTGATCAATCCTCTAGAGCTTATTAGACGTCCACAAGTTGAGAATCTGTAAAAAATCGGCATAAAAGCTGCGACTTTTAAAATCATGTACTAGATAAATTTTGACATATAACCGCCACATCGAGAAATCAAGCAAACCAGAACAGCTTTTAATTGGCCTAAATTTATTGTCACGCGTCACGCATTGCAAGGAGGCGKAACGGCTCTYGATAGAAGATTGTGTCAGGCKCTCTCTCCTTTCTCGCTCCGCCCYAAACCCCTTCGAGAGAGCCTGATACCAAGGCTAATGAGSGCGAAAAATTACGGGAATTATCATAACTTTTTTCAGTTAAACCTTTTCTGAATTTACTAGAAAAAGTAATTTGCAACTAAAAACAGTGTAGCAATATTGCCTGAGAAAGCAGAGAAAAACCTCATCAATCTTTCAAAAGCGATAGAATTTTAAAACACTATAGAAGTATCATTGTCTTATCTTGTGTTAATCAACTGTAAAGTCTTGTGTAAGCGTTGAAAATCATCCAAGTAAATAAAGTTTCGGTATTCACCTTGTTTTTTACTTCATACGAGAAAGAAAATGCAATCATGATGCTGTGAATTTGCAAGAAAATAGTTGGAACGACGAAAGTGTAAATGAAGTATGGCCTATGACAACGCGTCCAGTGTCGCGAGAAGAGAAAACAAAATGTTAAAAAAATTTCTGATCTAACAAAGTGTGAATTAAGAAACACAATTTCATTAAATAACGTTTCTTAAAAGCCATAGTCCACTACTATTCAACGCAATCTTGTTTTAGATTTTTCAGTATATGGAAATGTGGTCAGTTCGAATTTCGAATGAACGTTCTCATTCCGTTTCCATCGGTTGGTTTTACATGTAAGGTCAAATCTTAAAATTCAAGCATATTTAAAGGTATATAGAGAATATTCCTTGGGCTTGCGAAGATACGTTTATTATCTTCAAGTGTTGAAAAGATTTCTCACGAGTGAACTTAGAGAACTAGTGAGAAGTTTTCAACTCAATAAGATATAATTCTGCATGCGTATCGGCCAAGCGTCCATGTAATATTCTGTTATAATTATAAAATCATAGATGAAAGAAAATTGTATCGTAAAATTYACTGAATATGTTATTTTCACTAGTTTGACGGTTGGGTCCCCACCTATTTAATCGCTCTACTGRAATTCAAACTCATCAAAGCCGTTTCTTTTRATGGGTGTGTGAGCTGTCGAATCAATTATTACAGTTTGAWTGAAAGATACTTAATTTAGATCATTCATCGACTGCATTCACAAGCAAGAGATTTCACGAGATGAAGTTCTTAGTACCTTTACTGCTTCTGGGGRGTGCACTGTGCACGTGCTTCGCCGAAGGTAAGTACATGACAACATTTCACTGATGCCCATCCGGCTTACCTCGACTAGTTACTAACAACATCAAGGCTTAAATACTCGTAATCCAATCGACCTCTTGATCTAATAGTTCAATTCAATAGCTGCCAATTAATTTGGACTCCAGTCTCGATAATCTTTTTTTATTGTTTTTGGGTGGATCCATGAGGTTACTTTSATAGTATAGGTACATGATCTTATTAAAGATAGATACAGTTACATAGATATGTCCATTAAATATTTTGTTAATTTCTTTACTTTTCACTTCAATTAGCCCTATTTGTAACGTTATGGGTCCGCTATTTGAGGCTCAACGAAAACAAAAGAACGGCCATGATCAAAGTATCTATTGTCATCCAAAATATCGATAATTCGCTATTATTCGGTTGCCTTGAGCGACTTTTTGAAAAAAAGTCAAGTATACATAAATTAAAATATTGATTAATATCGTTTTGACCAACTACAGAGAACATCGAGTGTGGAACCAAAGGAAAAGGAATGGAAAGAATTGTAGGTGGAACAAACGTAACTACTGTCGGTCAATGGCCGTGGCAAGTGTCGATTCAACTCAAACGTCAAGTTTTTCATTTTTGTGGTGGGAGCATCATCAAGCCTAATTGGATAGTCACTGCTGCTCATTGTTTCCAACCAAATCCCAGTCCTTCGGATTACAAAGTCATTGCCGGTAAGCTCAATGAATAACAGGTATTTTTTACGCACAAGAATGCGAATTCATCCTACAAATGTCATCTCGCCAGCAAAGGGTAAGATTCAGTGGTCGGTAGTYATGCAGCGATTGCACTTCGTGAATAAGATTCCACTTTTGTTAACGAAATAATGTTTATCGTCTTTACACATTACCAAATGTAAACAAGCTCTCTGCACATTGCAATGTTAATAGTGCTCAGTAGCGCTAAATAGTTTGGGATACATAATACAAAACAAAGTAATCCGCATAAAGCTAGAGCATCAAACCAGTGAAACAATATTTGACTATTAAAGTGTGATGTACACAAAAGAAAACAATAGAGCGTATTTTAAAGGGCATATTAGTATAACATGAATTTCATGGATTTTTTACTTCAAGACTTAAGTCGTTTGTTTTCTGAGAAAGCTAGATCAACATATTTAGAATTCATGTATCACGCAACAATGTTATTTGCTACATGTATCGGAGTCTAGTGCGAGTATGAACGCTTGGTCTATTGTTCCTTCCCCGCTATTAAAAGGTCGATTAGCGCTAATCCTGATTTATCTTGGAATAAACGCTTTTCAGTGTTAACGCTAATCGGGCTTTGAACAATGGGAGAGCAACAGGCCTTTCGTCGGTACGTTTTCCTACTGAGCAGAYTCGTTATCTCAATCATCAGGTGAGCTTAACCTTGAGAAAAAGGGAGATGACGAGCAAGAAATGGACATCGAGAAGATCATCCGACATTCTGAATTCAACAAAACCGGTAATACGGAGAATGATATTGCAGTTGTGAAGCTGAAAACCAAAATTACATTCAATGAAAAGGTTCGACCTATTTGCCTCCCAACAAAGCGTTTTCCGGATGGAGAAAATTGTTACGCTACTGGTTGGGGATGGGTTAAACAGTGGAAGAAAGGCGACGAGCCAACAAAAAGCCCTATTCTACAACAGGTTAATATTTATATTTTATAATTATTCGAGGTTTTGTAATATTTTTGCGATTTCARTACTGTGAGAAGAAAGGGGGTTTTAAGGGCATAGATCCTATCGAATATGTCAAGTCAACAGGCAAGGTTATTGGAAAAACTATATCACTAGCTAGTACCATATACGATCATAAAGCTAAGATATAACCTGAGAAGAATACAGAGCGCGGCAAATGCTTTATGGCAAATCTAGTCGAAATTCTTCGCAGTACAGTACTTTATCAAATAAAGAAATCCTTATTAATTTTCCAGCTCAAACTTCCCCTGGTTTCTGATAAGAAGTGTAAAAAAATGGTCAGAAAAATGTTCRCGAGTCAGATCTGTGGCGGCTATAAACCAGAAGGTAAAGGCACATGTAAGGGTGACAGTGGTGGACCGCTGGCCTGTAAGAACAAATCTGGAGTATGGGACCTGGCTGGAGCTGTGAGCTTTGGATTAGGCGGGTGCGCTCAGGACAATACATATGACTTTTATGCCAACATCGCTAATCTCAAAGGATGGATTGAAAATCAAATCAAGAATTAGTATTCTTGCTCCAAAGAAACAAATATAATGAATAAATGAATAAACTGTCGAACATTTGTATTGTTTACTCAAGATTGTTTGCTTAAATTTTTAATCTTTGATGCAGGTCTTTAYGTTCGATTATTTTCACGATATACATCCAAAACATTCATTAACTAATTAGTCATARGATGAACCTTCAATCAGCACACGTTTRATATAAWAATAATAATAATATGTGGTATTTATATAGCGCCGATATCCTCTGAGTTCACAGGCGCTTCACATGTATASATCATTTCACACGGACCGCTGTTTAAGGCGCAATTGGTAGCYACGCGGCTTACAATCATGARGGGTTAGTAATTAGTATGGGTTAKTAGTAAGGCCTAGCCACACAYAYCGRGATTCATTCCCTACTCTTATGCGAACAGTGGTGTGGGTTCTTTAACGTCCCTCTAATACAGGTTAGTGAGTGAAGTGTAGAGAGACGGGACGTTTACCCACATGGTTCTTGGTACAAAATAAATACACAGTTAGAATTTGAATTTCCGTGCAAGCAATTGTGCGGGCTGAATGAATGATGACAAAAGATAAGAATAAATTTACTAATGCAGTTATATCACTTAAATTCCAGTACGTCCTAACACAACCAACTGCTCTTCGCGAATTAATTTTGTATTGTTTGCTAACAAATATGAGGGAGTCGATCGAAATTCATCAAAGCAACCATATCTAACCCTATGAATCATTTTAATTGGTTTACTATGATTCATGACAGACAACATGTCATGTTACCTGCTTTTGAACTTAATTTAAGTCTTCGACATTGAACACTCATTTACTGGTACGTTATGCGACTTTCAGAAATGGCGGTAGCTCGCTAACCCCAATATTGGGGGACTAGTGATGAATCATTGAAACGAGACCTTTCATCTAAAAAGCACCGCGATGATCGCATGCATGACATTGTCCGAAAGTATGAAAGATGTAATTGAAAACAAAGTAGTCGATCTTACAAGACTCCACCAAAGTTTACTATAGAGAGGCTGGCCTTTGTGACCTCGTTGAAGTGCTTCGTCCAGGTTCACCTCTAGAAACAGGAACTGTGAATAATTTCGCGTGAGATCGGGAATGCGAAGTCAAACAAGATGTTCATATTTCCGGGTCGAATTCTTGCTCTTCCTGTTTTGGTAATATATCCAATATTCAACCAATATTGCTAGTACAAATACCAAACGTGTTCTTCAAAATATTTTTTATTGTTTGTCTAATTAATCAAATTAAAAGGGGAGGAACAGAGCAGAAGCAGTAGAGAGGACCAAGAACCCAGAAGGACAAAAAGAATTAGGTGGAGCAGGATTTTTTTTGGGGGGTGGGAAGGGGATGTAGCAATGTCTGAAAAAAAGTGAGGGCCCTCTTGCAACAAAGAAAACTCGTCTTATCATTTTAACTGGTTTAATAATTCATATCAAATTGGATTAATTGGAGCGAGAGAGCAGAAGACCATGACGAAATTACCAAAGATAGGACAAGAACCCAGAAGAACAAAAATAACCAACTGAAGCTTCAGGTTTACYAAATTCAAATGTTCTATGTGTTGTTTATAGAACGAGAGTGCGTGTTTTATCGGGATATATGGATTCGAGCACGCCCATCATGTGACCCAATAGTTCGATGCTCATTGGACTAATAGCTCATGAATTATTAATGAGTTCTAGAATTTCTATGCCGACATTTCTGCAAGAAGTTGTATACTTTTTAAAAAAAGTACTATCAAATCAGCATCAAAATTCAAACATACCGATATCTCCGAATTTAATCATATTCCACCTGTGTAATTCAGAAGAATAGTACTTCAAGTATATCAATAGAAAAGTTTGGGTAAATTAATTCTGAGAGCTGAAGTCGACTACATTAATTTTCATAATATATTCATTCATACCAACCCGACACGGTTGCCACGATTTGTTTTGTTTTTTCTTTTTGCTGACATTCACTCTTAAATCTGAGCTGAAATTTTCTGAAACTGTAAATATATCCATTCAGTTTATTTATTTCTTTACTTTTCCCTTCAATAATCTCTCTTTGTTGACCTTATGGATCGGCTATTTCAGCCTCAGAGAAAACAAAAGAACCATGATCAATTATCTAATGTCACCCAAAATATAGAAAGTGTGCTACTATTCGGTTGATGAGAGGCTTTTTTAAAAAAGTCAGGTATATATTATAATATTAATTCATATCGTTTTGATAATCTACAGAGAGCATAGAGTGCGGAACCAGAGGCATAGGAATTGAAAGAATTGTAGGTGGAATGAACGTAACTACTAGAGGCCTATGGCCTTGTCAGATATCGATACAAGTCAAAAGTGGTGATTTTCATTTTTGTCGTGGCAGCATCATCAAGCCTAATTGGATAGTCACTGCTGCTCACTGTTTCAGAGAAAATCCAAATCCTTCTGATTACAAAGTCATTGCCGGTAAGCTTTGGATTAGACGATAGAAAACAAAGGCTACTTAAGTGTCATATATTCAACTATAAACACAAACGAAAGTAAGCAATGAAAGCGAATTAAAGTGTATTTAGTAAAATTTGTTTTTCACGGGTTATTTGACTTCACTCTTAGAAGCAAGAATTACACACGTCGTTGTTTCTGAGAAGTCTAAACTAACATATTTAGAATTCGTGAAGCACGCTACAATGTTATGTGCTATATTAATATCTTATTAAGCGAGCGCGAGGTCCGTACGAGAAGTTACGGACCGAGTTTTTTTCCATTCTGTAGAGGAGAGGTTCTGTGACTCAACAAGGCCAAGTAAGGATCTTCATTCTTCTTGAGAGCATGGCCAGAAAATCCGGACATTTGAGCCCGCAATCGCAGCGGTACTTCGCATAAATGCATAAAAACATGAATGTAAATTTTACAAAGAAATGTATGGATCAAAAAAAACATTTCATCTGTTTTAATTGGAAAAATTCCATAGATGGATTCGTAAAGGGAAACCATTCTTGATTCCACTGTAGGAAATCCAAAGAAATCCAATATTGTTAACAGCGTCCATTTTGACAATATATTTTCCTTTCGTCGTCTCCCTTTGGCCTTGTATCTCATGGTGAAAATTCGCGAAGAAGCGAAATTTCACCGTGGCTGATCGTGTTCCTTTACATTTCACTGAAATTCCATAGATCACTTCTCAAAGTCCACATATTGAAGTAGGAACACAGCGATTTTCAGCTATTTTGAAGACGATCAACAGGGTCCATTTTGGTACTAGAAATCGTACAAAAACTAACTTGACGGTGAAATGGCTGGCGAAGACGCGTGTTTCACGCGAATAATTGGCCTCGATCTTCCATTTTCTTTTCATTTTATACGCCATGTTTGGTACCAAAATAAACCTTAGAAACGTGGCTTTCAGACTAGGACTACTTTAATTTTGGCGGTTTTTACTGGCGCCTTGCGCGCAGTGGTAAAWAGCGGGAAATACGAACGAAAGATCAAGTCTACGCTATTTAGYGTAAACAATGTCAGACCTTTTAAATTCCTTACAAATGTACAAGTATAAACAAAAGATCACAATATCAACTGATGATCATTGTTTAAAATACCTGAGGGAAACGTGTGTTCCAGCAAACAATATTATTTACACTATAAACATTCCAAACGACCACCTTACAAGCCACTAATGAACTCAAGGATCAGAGCGTGCTATCCCAATACTCGTTTGTCGATGTTTTGAACGTTTCRATTTTAGCCCAGTATTGTATTAAGATAAAGGATCGTTAAGAGTAGAAAATTTGTTCTTCAAAAGTTCAAACCTCAAGGGAACTTGAGAAAGCTCTATTTTGGTGGGAAAACCCGCTGACTCGTTCCGGGCTCAAATGTCCGGAATTTCTGGCCATGGTCTCTTTGGCTACTCGCACTGCTATCTCTGCTCCACCGTTTCCTCTTGGATATCGTGACGAACTGGTAACATAAATGAAGCCATACGTTGAAGCAAATTACTTGAAAGAGGCAGAGGCAAATTGCGGCCCGTTGTCTGAGATGACCATTTCCGGTATTTCATGAGTTGAAAATATCTCCTTTAAGACTTTGATCACTGAATCAGATGACTCATTGTTCAGTTTCTTCAGTTCCACCCATCTAGAGTAGTAGTCTAAAACAGATATGTAGACGTTCCCTTTATCTTCAAATAGCTCAGCGGTTACTCTTTCTCAGAGTCTGCTGGGGAACGAGGAGGCCATAAGTGTATCTTTATGCTCTGGGCGGAGTTTAGCACACGTTGGACAATTGGTGACTGTAGCAGTAGCAGCTTGGGTGATTCCTGGCCACCATACTGACATTTCGGCCCTCCCTAGGCATTTAGTGATGCCTAAGTGTCCTTTGTGTATAACATCAAGCATTTCAAATCTCATCTGCTTTGGGATCACGATACGATCATCATAGAGTAGGATTTGGTCTACACAAGAGAAATGACTTCGATTGTCCCAGTATGGACGTAGGGCATATTGCTTATGTGGCATGTAAGGCGGCAAACCTTCATCGCAGTAGTGCTTAATTAGTGAGCATTCTTCATCTGCGTCTTTAGCTTCCTTTATCTCTTGAAGCCGCTGAGGATTGGCTGGGAGGCCTGCTACAATTTGACTGGTGAAGCTCTCTACTCCCTGTACTAGAGTACTATCTGCTGCCCGAGGTCCATCCAGTGGTGCACGCGACAGGGCGTCTGCTGTTACTTGCTGTTTACCTGGAACGTAGTGCACATTCGGGCTGGATTTCATCAATCTCATCCTGAACCTGAGGATTCGAGGTTACATCTCTGACAAATCTGTCGATGTAAGAAGAGGTACGAGCGCTTTATGATCTGTGTGGACAGTAAACTTCATCCCAAGTACATAGTCTGTAAACTTCTCGCAGGCCCATGTCACGGCTAATGCTTCCTTTTCAATCACCGCATGTCTCTTTTCTGCATCAGTAAGAGATCTGGAGGCATAAGCTACAGGTTTGTATGATCCATCATCTTGGAGTTGGGCAATCACTGCTCCCAGTCCAGCATTTGAAGCGTCTGATGAGAT